GGAGATGTACCAGCACCTCCGAAACCAGGAAAGACCATGGACCAGAAGTGCAAAAAGTTTGCTTTCAGTTGCCTGTGAGCCAGTGTGGTGTAGTGGTTAAGAGTGGTAGACTCGTAATCTGGTGAACCAGGTTCACTTCCCCGCTCCTCCACATGCAGCTGCTGGGTGACCTTGGGCCAGTCACACTTGTTTGAAGTCTCTCAGCCCCACTCACCTCACAGAGTGTTTGTTGTGGGGGAGGAAGGGAAAGGAGAATGTTAACCGCTTTGAGACTCCTTTGGGTAGCGATAAAGCGGGATATCAAATCCAAACTCTTCTTCTTCTTCTTCTTCTTCTTCTTCTTCTTCTTCTTCTTCTTCTTCTTCTTCCACTCTCCACCAGTGACTTCCTCAGCAGTCATTGGGTTCAGGTCTGCTCTGCTCCACCTCCCAATCGCCTCCTTCTCCTCCTCCATCGGTCCATCTGCCTGCCTGCCGCCCTACTTTCCTCCCTCCCTCTGCACACTGCTTTCCCTTCTGCCTCCTCCCTCTCTTCCTTTTCCCTCCTCCTGCAACTCTCACCTACACTCTCCGTCTTTCTTCCCTCCAAGCCCCACTGAATACTCCACTCACACTTCTAATAGCGCCGCTGGCCGACTGGGTAGGGGCCCCACAGGGCTGTTGTGATGGCCCATGCCAGGAACCAGACTCCTCTGCTGAGATGCCCAGAGGAGCCTGCGCACCTCGCCCGGCCACCCAAAGCAGTGGAGGAGCAGCCTAGGGAATGCACTGATGGGCCAACAGGCTCCTAGCCACTCTGAGGCAGAAGAAGAAGAAGAAGAAGAAGAAGAAGAAGAAGAAGAAGAAGAGGAGGAGGAATTTGGATTTGATATCCCGCTTTATCACTACCCGAAGGAGTCTCAAAGCGGCTAACATTCTCTTTTCCCTTTCTCCCCCACAACAAACACTCTGTGAGGTGAGTGGGGCTGAGAGACTTCAAAGAAGTGTGACTGGCCCAAGGTCACCCAGCCGCTGCATGTGGAGGAGCGGAGACGCGAACCCGGTTCCCCAGATTACGAGTCTACTGCTCTTAACCACTACACCACACAGGCAGAGTGAAGATGAATTTTTTGTGCTCCCTGGTCCTGTACCCTTGGTGGGGGCCGACCTGGTCAGTCCCTAGGTACACCTCTGCTTCTGAGTGAGACGCACACCACTTAGATGTAGTAATATAAGTAGTAATAATACAAATAATCATAATCATAATATATAAAAAATTATACCCCGCCCATCTGGCTGGGTTTCCCCAGCCACCCAGGGAGGCTCCCAGTAGAATATTAAAAACACGATAAATACAGTGGTACCTCGGGTTAAGTACTTAATTCGTTCTGGAGCTCCGTTCTTAACCTGAAACTGTTCTTAACCTGATGCACCGCTTTAGCTAATGGGGCCTCCTGCTGCTGCCGTGCCGCCACTGCATAATTTCTGTTCTCATCCTGAAGCAAAGTTCTTAACCTGAGGTAATATTTCTGGGTTAGTGGAGTCTGTAACCTGAAGCGTATGTAACCTGAAGCGTATGTAACCTGAGGTACCACTGTACATCAAACATTAAAAACTTCCCTAAACAGGGCTGCCTTCAGATGTCTTCTAAACGTTTGGTAGTTATTTTTCTCTTTGACATCTGGTGGGAGGGCGTTCCACAGGGCAGGTGCCACTACTGAGAAGGCCCTCTGCCTGGTTCCCTGTAACTTCTCTTCTCACAGTGAGGGAACTGCCAGAAGGCCCTCGGAGCTGGACCTCAGTGTCTGGGCTGAACAATGGGGGTGGAGATGCTCCTTCAGGTATACTGGGCCGAGACCGTTGAGGGCTTTAAAGGTCAGCACCAACACTTTGAATTGCGCTCGGAAACGTACTGGGAGCCAATGCAGATCTCTCAGGACTGGTGTTATGTGGTCCTGGTGGCCACTCCCAGTCACCAGTCTAGCTGCCGCATTCTGGATTAGTTGTAGTTTCCGGGTCACCTTCAAAGGTAGCCCCACGTAGAGCTCATTGCAGTAGTCCAAGCGGGAAATCATGCATCATTTGATCAGGCATGTTTCATAACCCAGAGCTACTCGGAATACTAAGGGGCTGCTCAAGCTCCAAAATGCCATAGAGGGCATTCAGGAGAGATTGTGTCAACCGCTCACTTAATCTTACCGTTCCATAGCGAGACAAAGGCTTCAACCAGATTGCCAACCTTCTCCACTGGAAATTCCCACAGAGCATTTAGGAACACATCAGGTTCCATTAGTCTCTGAAGGTGGGCCATCCCAAATGTCCCCCCCCCCTTTACAGGGGGCAATTGCTCCTGTCTGTCTAAACTTAACCAGACAATCGTCAGTCCATCCCAGGAAAGGACGAAACATGCTTCTTTCCTGTTGTTGCAACAATGTGGCGGGAAATTGTGATGTGTTTTTTCTGGCCCAGGAACAATTCTCGTTAACCAAAACTCTGTCACTGGTTTCATGCCAGATGTATCTCAACAAAATAGTAAAGTCGTCTGTCCTTATCTACTATTTTGTTTAAATTGCTTTATCTTACAGCAAACGTTCAAAACATCAAACTATATGAAATATAAAGGTAAAGGGACCCCTGACCATTAGGTCCAGTCGTGGCCGACTCTGGGGTTGCGGTGCTCATCTCGCTTTATTGGCCAAGGGAGCCAGTGTACAGCTTCCAGGCCATGTGGCCAGCATGACTAAGCAGCTTCTGGCGAACCAGAGCAGCGCACGGAAACGCCGTTTACCTTCCTGCCGGAGCGGTACCTATTTATCTACTTGTACTTTGATGTGCTTTCGAGCTGCTAGGTTGGCAGGAGCAGGGACTGAGGCATGGGAGCTCACCCCGTTGTGGGGATTCGAACCGCCGACCTTCTGATCAGCAAGCCCTAGGCTCTGTGGTTTAACCCACAGCACCACCTGTGTCCCTTATATGAAATATAGAGCATGTCAAACACAGGGTAATTTCAATCATTACCTAACAAAAAACAAATGCCCAATCTCGGTTTAAGTACACAAATGCAAAGCAAAATGAGCGTTAACTGACAATAAAGTTTCTGGTACAGTGGTACCTCGGGTTACATATGCTTCAGGTTACATACACTTCAGGTTACAGACTCCACTAACCCAGAAATAGTACCTCAGGTTAAGAACTTTGCCCCAGGATGAGAACAGAAATCGTGTGCCGGCTGTGCGGCAGCAGTGGGAGGCCCCATTAGCTAAAGTGGTGCTTCAGGTTAAGAACCGTTTCAGGTTAAGAACGGACCTCCAGAACGAATTAAGTACTTAATCCATGGTACCACTGTACTGGTCTTCTTGGTCTGCAAGGATCCTGGCTTAAATACAGTTCAGAGGGCAGGGGTCCTCTTGCCAAGCTAGGTGGAAGATAGCAGGGTCTCATATCCTTACTCCAGAGGAGGCTGTCCACAGCAAAAGGCAAATGGAATGGCAGCGATGGTCCGTCTCTTCCCACATACCCTCCAACACTCCACAGATGAAAATAAGGACATTTCTCGGTCCCCTGCTACTGGCTCTCCTTGGTCTCCCGATTTTTGTCCCCAACCCCCCATCCAGAGCATTTCCTATGAGAAGAAGGGCGAGTGCTGCCCCCACCACCCCAATGGGACACAGTACACATCCCATGCCCTATAACGTCCTGAGAAAACTCCTTAATCCCAGTTTCATTTTATTTTTTTCTCGGGTCAATTTGCAAAAAGAAAAACACACACCAATAAATACATTTTCGAAAGGGGCAAGATTAGACGTACAAAGAATTTTTAAAAAAATCAAGACTCCTTGCACTCCATTCAGCTCCTCCTTTATTCCTTCTCAGGGCAGCCCTGCCCTCTGCCTGCCCCCAGAGCTGGTGTACCACACAGGGCTGGGCATCAGAGGTGGCAGCCTCTCCTTCCTCACCGACTATCCAACAGCTGCTATGAGCTGCCAAAGGGAGGAAGCTGGCGGCAGCGGCCATGGGACTGTCCCTAGAAAATCAGGACACTTGGAGGTTATTTTCCCCAGCCTCCTGGAAGTATCAGCTGCTGGTGTAGGTCTTATTGCCCCTCAGCCCTTGCTCCCGATCTCCCTGAACCAGGCCCTTCTGTTGGACAAGAGAGCTGTGTGTTGCCCTCTATTTTTATAACTACCTTGACAATCTCCCTCGGGGCAGGGCAGTGCCCCGTTGCCCACACTGAAGTAGGATTCAGCAGCCAGTCCTGTTGGCTACTCTACTCAGAATGGGCGTTCGCGTGGCACCGTTTTGTTCTTTGCCACGAACAGCAAAATCCCTTGGGCCGGCCTCGACAGCCGAACGGATGGCCATTGCAAATTAAAGCTTTGCACAATCCACGCAGAGATATTCTAGTCGCAGACCCTGCCAATTCTTCGTTCACAGGCACGGACCAGCCTTCCCAGTGTGGCCGGGGAAATACATTCAGTCGTCTTTGAAATTCAAGGACGCTCCTGTCACTCCTTGCAATGGTTGTCGGAAAGTGATGAGGATGAAAGGCTTTCCGGGGCTCTGCTCACAGCGGAGGGTTTTTAATTCCCTTTTCCTTTGATTAGAAATTTGGCACAGGGTCCCAGGTCTGCATCCTTGCCGGCCGACCAACTTACTCGAGGGAAGCTTGGGAGATAGTAACTCCCTTGGCTTGAAATGCCGCGAACAAACCTGCGCGCCAATTCCAAGGTCAGAGACCCTTTTGTTTCGTGGGGGGAAAGAAAGAGCGTATCTTCTCTTGTTTTGACTTGTTGCTGCCGTTGTCTAATCTAAACCACTGGCCTTGTCATAAAGTAAAGCTGGTAGTGGGACAGGCTTTCTCAGTTTATGGGATGGAGAAGGGGGGCGTTGCAAGGCATCAGTTGGAGCCACGATAACAGCCCAAAGTGACGGAGTGTTTTGTCAGTGCTCTCCCAACACGCTGGATTTTCATTTTGCTCTTGCAGGACTATCGATTGGCTCGGGCCTTGGGCAAAGACGATCATGGAAGCCTTCAATCCGATGCAGTACAATATCACCAGCGTGGTCTCAGAGACGATGCCAATTGCCACAGTCCCAGTCTTGCTCCTCATAGGCTTCCTGTTCCTGATGTGGACTTGTGAAGAAGCAACAACCATACCAGGTAAGTTCTTTCAAAGCAGAGGCTTGCATCCAACTTTTACTCAGAGAAGACCCATTGCAAGTAAAGGATCTGAGATAATTGGGAAAGGGGCTTTGCATGCAAAAGACCCCAGGTTCATCTCCAGGCAGGGTTGGGAGAGACCACTGACTAAATTGCTGGAGGGTTGCTGGCAGTCAGTGTAGACAATACTGAACTTGATGGAACCATGGTCTGACTTAGGATAAGTCATATGTTCCTAACCATGTTCATGAATTTCAATTCGTTCACCGGTTACTGCATTTAAACCCTGCCTTTCCTCTAAGGATCTCAATATTGCATCCATGGATCTTCCTTTCTTCATATGAGCTTCACAACAACCCTAGCAGGTAGGCCAGGCTGAATGGTGGTGAAGGGCACAGAGTAGGAATTTGAGCCCAGGTCTCCCAAGTCCAACATCCTGCGTCACACTACTCTGACTAACATTGAATGCAACCCATTGTGCATGAGATAGCCTATAATTTCCACTTTTAAATATATGCAGAAGACAGGGGAAAAAACCTCTCCTTCAAGGAGAATTAGAAATGGCAAATGAAAGCAATCATATTATAATCTGGGCTATCTTCTATTTTATTTGCAATTTTAAAAAAGTGCATGGCCTCTCAGGAGCTGAAAGCACCTTGTAATTTGAATCTTCCCTTCACACTTCATCCCATTAGAACTAATCTCCTCATGTTACTTGTCCCTGCCACTGATTCATCTGAGGCATGGGTAGACAAACTAAGGCCTGGGGTCCGGATCCGGCCCAATCACCTGCTAAATCCGGCCCTCGGACGGTCCAGGAGCCTGCGTGTTTTTACATGAGTATAATGTGTGCTTTTATTTAAAATGCATCTCTGGGTTATTTGTGGGGCTTAGAAATTCATTCCTCCCCCCCCCCCAAAAAAAATATAGTTCGGCCCCCACAAGGTCTGAGTGACAGTGTACTGGCCCCCTGCTGAAAAAGTTTGCTGACCCCTGATCTGAGGCATGAGCAGAGTGCTATCCTAACCTTGTCTCTTCATAAGCAAGTCCTCTTGCGTTCAGTGTTAGGACTGCAGCCTGAACTCTCAATGAACTCAGTCTCATTTCGGAGTAGACCTCTGCAGGATGCTGCTGTTAGTGCCTTGCTCCTAATACATATCTATTGGCATTGGTGTCACTTTAATTGTTTGCTTATTTCCCATGTTCAGACAGGATTTTGCATATTACTGGATCACGGAATTGTGGAGCTGGAAGGCCATTTAGTCCAACACCCTGAAATGCAGGATTCCTGCTTACAGCCACCCTGAGTGGGCTCAAACCACCAACCTTCTGGTTAAGAGCCAGATAGACTGATCCTTTGTGCCACCGGGATAAACTGGTCATAGATAGTCAGTTTCATGGATTGATGCCCTATTCAGCCAATGAAAATCACTGAGTGACCTTGGCTTGGTCACTGTCCCCGGCCAGGGCTGGTTTTTTTCAATTGGAACTCACCGGAAGTCAGTTCCAGTATCTACAGTGGTACCTCAGGTTACAGACGCTTCAAGTTACAGACTCCGCTAACCCAGAAATAGTACCTCGGGTTATAAACTTTTCTTCAGCATGAGAACAGAAATCGCGTGGCGGCGGCACGGCAGCAGCAGGAGGCCCCATTAGCTAAAGTGGTACCTCAGGTTAAGAACAGTTTCAGGTTAAGCGCAGAGCGAACCTCCAGAACGAATTAAGTTCTTAACCCGAGATACCACTGTACTCTGCTTTCAGAAGGTGCCTGTCTGAAATCCTGACGAGGTGCTGTCAGTCAATATCAGGGGTCAGCAAACTTTTTCAGCTGGGGGCCAGTCCACTGTCCCTCAGACCTTGTCAGGGGCCAGACTATATTTTTTTTGGGGAGGGGGGTGAACGAATTCCTATACCCCACAAATAACCCAGAGATGCATTTTAAATAAAAGGACGCGTTCTACTCATGTAAAAACACGCTGATTCCCGGACCGTCCGCGGGCCGGATGTAGAAGGCGATGGGGCCGGATCCGGCCCCCAGGGCCTTAGTTTGCCTACCCATGATATAGACAACCATGAGCTAGATGGACCTAGCTCATGGTGCAGCAGGTGCAGAATGCCGCGGCGAGGCTCCTTACGGTGTCCTTGCCGCGAGATCACATTCATCCAGTGCTCTACCAACTGCACTGGCTCCCGGTGGAGTACAGGGTCAGGTTTAAGGTGCTGGTTTTGATCTTTAAAGCCCTATGCGGCCTAGGACCCACGTACCTACAGGACCACCTCTTCTGGTATGCCTGCGGAGGACCTTAAGTTCCACAAATGACAACATTTTGGAGGTCCCAAGTCGCAGGTTGGTTAGATTGGTCTCAACTAGGGCCAGGGCCTTTTTAGTACTGGCCCCGACTTGGTAGAACGCTCTTTCACAAGAGACCAGGGCCCTGCGGGACTTGGCATCTTTCCGCAGGGCCTGCAAGACAGAGCTGTTCCACCTGGCCTTCGATTTGGACTCAGTCTGACCCTTATGTTTCCCTCCCCTTATGCTTTGATCTATGGGCTACTTTTAAAATGAGGCTGCATTTTAAATTGCATTTTAACCTGTATTTTAAATTGGGTTTTTTTCCCTATTACGTTTTTACTATAATTTTACTGGTGTTAGCCGCCCTGACCCCGGTTCTGGCTGGGGAGGGCGGGGTATATTATTATTATTATTATTATTATTATTATTCTTATTTTAATGGTGTGACTCTGCATAAGACATATCCTTTGTTCCTGTGAGGTCCCTTCTGACTTGATGTTTAACTCCCCCTGAAAGCCATACAAGTGAGTGGCACCTTGTAGCAGATGATTCCATGAATCAGGGTTGCTGGATTCTCATCTCCCATCAGCCCATCAATGGGAGAAATTCCCTTTCTCAAAGTGCCTGGTCCTTCAAATTTGGAATCTTAAACACCAGTGGCATGCAGTCAGTGGACCAGGGAGACTAGGCTAGCTCCTTGTGTTCTCTCGACACACACCTTTGTCATTCCAGGGTTGGGTGCCCCATTCAGACAGTGAAAATCACTGGGTGACCTTGGCTCAGTCACTGTCTCCCAGCCAGGGCTTTTTTTCAGCCAGAACTCTCAGGTGGCTGCCATTGCCATTTGAAGAGAATGAGGGAGGTGTTCATGGTGAGTTCCAACACCTCTTTTTCTAGAAAAAATTTCACTGCTCCCAGCTCTGTCGCATCCAGCAAGATGATTCTGCCTACTGGAAGCTCTGGGTGGGAGCCAGACTGAATTAGCTGCATTTATTTCTCAGGGAAACAAGACTTTAGATACCAGTCCAGTGTTGTGATCCCAACACTTGTTTCTAAGCAAGCAAGTTTAGGATGGGATATTATCATTTATTAAATCTACCTACAAGAAGCACAGGATATATCAAAAACTCTAAACATACGTACTTGCCAATAAGCTATTTTAAATCTGCCTTATAAAAATGTAAACTAAGAGAAATCAGGAAGCTTGACACTGTAGAAGTTCATGTGAGAGCATCACTTCATTGATCTCAGTGGAGCAATTTCATACTGAAATGCATTTGGTCTTTTCCATTCTTCACATTCTGGAGAAGAGCCAATATCTTACACATTTGCCTCGCTCTGTTATCAAAACATTGTCTGCATTTTTTCAAACCGCATTTGGAGCATATGACTGGGGCAGCCTTGAGAGATCATTTGGCGTAAAAGGTTGCGGCATACTCTCAAAATAAACAAAGCAGTGAAACAAATGCCAGGCTGGATTAAACTAGCCCTCTCATATCCTTTCAATTACTGTAACAGCCTTTCGGATAGTATCAGGATTGGGGAACCTATGTTGCAGGACTACAACTCCTATTGTACATGACAAGATGCCTGGGGCTAAATTCTGAGTTCCAGCAAGTTTTGGCTGGAGAAATAAACCATGTGTATGCCACTTTTGGAGGGATGCGGGTGGCGCTGTGGGTTAAACCACAGAGCCTAGGACTTGCCGATCAGAAGGTCGGCGGTTCGAATCCCCATGACGGCGTGAGCTCCCATTGCTCGGTCCCTGCTCCTGCCAACCTAGCAGTCCAAAAGCACATCAAAGTGCAAGTAGATAAATAGGTACCGCTCTGGCGAGAAGGTAAACGGCATTTCTGTGTGCTGCTCTGGTTCGCCAGAAGCTGCTTAGTCACGCTGGCCACATGACCCAGGAGCTGTACGCCAGCTCCCTCGGCCAATAAAGCGAGATGAGTGCCGCAGCCCCAGAGTTGGCCACGACTGGACCTAATGGTCAGGGGTCCCTTTACCCTTAGTCAGCCAAGTTTGAATGCGCACTTCTAGCCACACTCTACAGGAAGGCTCCTCCTGCAGAGCTGCACATGTGGCATACATGGTTCTCCCTTCCCCATTTTTATCCTCACAATAAGGGAAATTTTGAAGCACCGCATTGTTCAAAATTTTTTTATATTCCATTTCTATTGCGCCCTTCATCCAGGGATCACAGGGTGGTTTACAATATAGCATCACAAATATACATAACATAGTAACAAACAAAATATTATATATGAATGGATGCTGCTGATAAAATCCATCTCTCTCCCCCCCCCCCCTTCTTTTAGGCCCTGGCTACTGTATGGGGATTGGTCCCCTTATTTCGCATTGGAGATTCCTCTGGATGGGTATTGGCAGTGCCTGTAACTACTACAACAAGATGTATGGTGAATTTATGAGAGTCTGGATCAACGGAGAAGAGACCCTCATTATTAGCAAGTAAATCTTTGATTTCTGAAAGTCTGGATGGAGAGTAACTATTGCTATTAGAGTGTCCAGATGTAAGAGGAAATTTCTTGATATCTGTCCTGAAAAAAACAGGTGGGAAGTACCATTAAAGATAAAATAACCAAGCAGGTAGAAGAACAAGCCTTGCTAAAGCACAGCCAGCATGGCTTCTGCAAGGGCAAGTCCTGTCTCATGAACTTTTCAGAGTCTGTTGAGAGTGTCAACAGCGGAGAGCATGAGGCAATCTGGTTGACATAATTTCTACAAGGAAAGGGTGCGGCATTTGAGACTTCTTAGTGTTTGCATCTGGTTACTCTAATTTATTTATTGTGCATTTTGAGAGAACCTATATACTGATTAATTACAATGACATCTAAGCAAGGTCTGATTCCTAGGGCACAACCAGGGGTGGGCTTGGGCAATCTCTCTAATACAGTGCCCTGGGTGAGGTCAAAATCTGGTACCCCCAAATGGATCTTCTCAATCTTGCACCTCCTTCGTGGGGGAACCACGCACATCGCCCTAAATCCAATACTGGCACAACCCTGGCTAGATCCTTCTTCACTAGTTTTATGGAGCTGACTGCACTCTTTTTACTGCTGGCTTCCGATGGCAGTGAGAGGAGAATCTAAAGAGGAAAATTTGAAATGGAATCTTTCTCTGTGTAAAGAATAAAGGTAAAGGGACTCCTGACCATTAGGTCCAGTCGTGGCCGACTCTCATCTCGCTTTACTGGCCGAGGGAGCCGGCGTACAGCTTCCGGGTCATGTGGCCGGCATGACTAAGCCGCTTCTGGCGAACCAGAGCAGCGCACGGAAACACCGTTTACCTTCCCGTTGGAGCGGTACCTATTTATCTACTTGCACTTTGACGTGCTTTCAAACTGCTAGGTTGGCAGGAGCAGGGACCGAACAACGGGAGCTCACCCCGTCGCGGGGTTTCAAACCACCGACCTTCTGATCGGCAAGCCCTAGGCTCTGTGGTTTAACCCACAGCGCCACCCGCGTCCCAGTGTAAAGAATACCAGGCTCATAAAGAGCAGTAGAAAACACTTCCTGCTTTTGTTGCAAGGGGCCCAATCTGAATCAGGGCTTCAGTGTGGGGGAACTCAAGCACTCCCCCGCCCCCAGCCACATGCCAGGATCCTAATCTAGATTAGGCACCCCGATGCTGGCTAGTCTGTAGAGATCAGAGAACACATCATAGATCATAGAATTGTAGAACTGAAAGGGACCCTGAGCATAGCTGTCAACGTTTCCCTTTTTTTAAGGGAAATTCCCTTATTCCGAATAGGATTCCTCGCGAGAAAAGGGAACAGTTGACAGCTGTGAGGATCATCTAGTCCAACCACCTGCAATGCAGGAAAATACAGCTGTCCCACACGGGGACTGAACCTGTGACCTTGGCATTATCAGCACCATGCTCTATCCCACTGAGCTATCTAGCCTATCAGAAAAACCCAGCCTTCTTAAGCAAATGCCTTGACTCATGTCCTATGTAGTTTTGTGCCATTAAAAAGTCACCCGCTAATTTCTGCAAAGCGCACCTCTGTTAAGAGATGGGAGGAGGCCAGGCCAGAAGTTGAGCGTTGTCTTGGTTGCATTTTCCTGCCCATGTGACAACCCAGCCTCATCACATTCCTTGCACTGTGGAGCTTTGCTGTTGACACCACGCTGATATTTCTTAGCTTTTAGCTCCCTCTTGAGGACATTCAGCTTCAGTTGCTGGTCTTAGGATAAACTGCGGTAGCTGCACAAACAGAAAAATGATGAAAACCTGAATCGTACATTTTAATTTATTTCTGGTATTGGCATGATTTATTTGTGAACTATCTTTCAACAAATGTTCTCAAATGTGGGCTCTTTATTAGCGATTGTGGCAACTTATCTTTTCTGAAACTAACTTTTCTTTCGTTTCTTTTTTCTGTAACCTGGTAGTCACAATTAAATTCAATTAATAAAAAAAAAGAACATGTAAACACTATGGGAAGTGTGTGCATATAAGTGCATATGTTTGTGAAAAGAATGCAGAAATGCATTGTATTGAAGAAAAACGCTTTACAGAAATGTGTGTGGAGAAACTTGTGCTAAAATGCTGAAGAGTTTTCCTGACGTCTTCCCTTGAAAAAATAAAAATTGCAAACGGATGTGGAAGTGTGTAAAACTGAACATCAGATTGGAAAAATCAGAAACTGCCCCTTGCAGGGCGGAGGCCTCAGCAGATGTCTGATGAAGGTATTCCCAATAGCAGCTCACCCTTTCTTTGGAGAAAGCCAAGTGTACCCTCTGGGATATCCTTGAGGGTGGGAACAAACCAGGCCATCGCCTCTGGTGATGCCAACTGCTGAGGTTCAAGCCCACCCATGGCTTCAGCCTCAACATCCCTGCCTAGCTTTCAGCATCTCTTCAGGTTTTGGATCTCGCAAGACTGCGATGGTCTGCAAAGATAGTGTCTGTGCTACAAAGTGACCCAAAATCTCACAGAAGGAGTTGTGTACAGCTGTCGTAATAAAATACAACGTCAAACACTCTGCCAATCAACTTGTTATGTCTTCTTCTGTGCTGAGCTAAGAAATAAAATAAAAAAATCTGTGGGTTTTATTTTGTTCCATCAGAGGAAGAGATTGGCCACTGGCGATGATCCGACTGAAAGCAATTTGCTGACATTGGGGGAGTTTGTTGACATGGGGAATATTGCATTCGTTATCCAGAATATAACGCTAGGGCTCCTCTTCCTTTCATACTGCAGTACCTGTTGTATCGTGGCCCTGTGACTTTTAGACTGATTCAGCGACGTTGCTGTTCCCCCATCATTTCTGCACATGTGCACTTCTGTTATCCCACTTTCCCCCCATGAAAACTGTAGGAAATAACTGCATGCTGGGATACTGTTTTAAATTTTGTCATTTTATTCCCATGTTAAGGGAGCTGCAAATGTGGTTTTTCACCAGGATTCAAATAACACGAAAATGAGTGCTAAACGTGTGCGACATTCCATTTGTTTTCTGGAAGTGGATTTTACATGGTTTGGAATCTTGAATACAATGCCACAGTTAACAGTTAGGGAAACATCAAGAAAACAGAATGAATTGCCATGTGAATGCGGTCTTAATAGTCTTTCTTCTGCTTGCTAGATCTTCAGGTATGTTCCACGTAATGAAATACGGGCATTACACCTCTCGATTTGGGAGCAAGTTGGGCTTAAAATGCGTCGGCATGCACGAGAACGGAATCATATTTAACAATAACCCAGAACTCTGGAAAGAAATCCGACCCTTCTTCACCAAAGGTAAGCTCTGGATTTCTGGATCTCCCTGCAGCATCTATTCCTCTTTTGAGAGTGCAGTCAGTCTATGTCATTTAAATAAATAAGTAGGAGAGGATGGCTGCCATGCCAAATGAGCAAGAATAGCTCAAACTCAAGCAATGGCAAATAGCTCCACTGAGATACTTCCAGGCCTGGTCTCAGAGTTCAGCATGGATGAGGAGCTGCCCAGGGTCTCGGGGCTCAGAAGAGACCCTCACTGACTGGCCCACCCAGCCAAACCACTGGGGCCAACCTGAAGTCCCAGATGCCCCTGCTGCCCCTGTGCCTCAGTGGCTCAGAGCACCTTTTACCTGTTCCAGTTTGTGTGCTAGCTATGCCCATTCGTGCACAGGATAGCCTTGCCATGGAGGTCCATGTGATGATAACCTCACTGCTAGACTACTGCAACGTCCTCTGTGTGGGTCTACCTTTGCACCAGGTTCTGAAGATGCAGCAACTTCCATATGCACCCATTTTTACAAATATTACACCAGTGTGGAAGGATTTGCTCTGGCTGCCTCCTAGGTCCTGAGCCAAATTCAGAGGGGTTTTCTGCTGACACTAGACATCCTAAACAACTTGGGACCATTATAGCTAGCAGGCTGACTCCCCTAGTGCAGACCAAGCTGATCTTTAAGGATCTTCTGATGAAACCCTTCTGGTCAGTCCAAGGCTTGTTCGTTGTCACTCGGTGAGGATGCAGAAGACATCCTTCTTGGCAAGAGCATCCTCCCTCTGGCTTGCCCTCCCTTAGGTAATTCATGAGGCAGAGATAGTAATTAAAAATTGTATATATATTCCAAAGTTTTCCTGGGCTTTGCCTCTTCGCTTTTAATCCCCTGTTGCCCCTGTTGCTTAGTTCAATTTGGACAGTTGTGCTTTGTTTTTACCTACCGTATTTTTCGCCCTATAGGACGCAGTTTTTCCCCTCCAAAAATGAAGGGGAAATCTGTGTGCGTCCTATGGGGCAAATGAAGGCTTTTGCTGAAGCCTGGAGAGCGAGAGGGGTCGGTGCTCTGGGCTTCCCCAGAAAGCTATCCGCAAGCCTGGGGAGCCCGCAGGAGTTCCCGCCGGGCTCCCAAGGCTTGCGGACAGCAGCCTGCAGCCCGAAGCCTGGCGGGAACTCCCGCACTCCGGGCCGGGCTGGCTTCAATCGGCAGCTTCAATCGCCCCTCCCCCATCGCCGCGGAACCTCGCCCCAGATTGGGAAGCTAATCGGCTGGCGCAGCGCTGCTGAGGCTGCTCTTCTTCAACGGGGGATACCGGCAAGCAGCCGGCCGAGGCTCCCTCTCCGCCCTGCTGCCCCAGGAAGTGGGGCGCCGCTGCGCAACGAGGCGAGGACGCGCCGTCGGGGAGCTCCCCGCTGAAGAAGCCATGCAGGGAGCGGGAGCCGCAGAACCCGAGGCAGCGCACCCCGGGCTTTGGGCAGATGTCCGCAAGCCTTGGGAGCTCGCAGCCTGCAGCCCAAAACCCTGGGGAGGATTTTTTCCTTTATTTCCCCCCCAAAAAAACTAGGTGCGCCCTATGGGCCGGTGCGCCCTATAGGGCGAAAAATACGGTAGTTTTTAGGAAAGTGTATTGAAGGCCACAGTTGTATTCATATGGTTGCTTGGAGACTGCTTAGAGATTTTTATTACGTGAGGGGGTATAAAATTGTGTGTGATATTAATTAAAGGCTTAATGGAACCTAGTGCTAGCCCTAGAGACTTCCATTTTGCTTCCTTGTTTGGGCACTTCCCCTTGAAATATATAGCTCAGTACCAAACTGTCTAGACTATAAGGAAATTTGTGAAATTGCAGCTCTCTCTGGCCCGGGTCTCGTGCGGATGTTATCTATTTGTGTTGACTCAACGGCTGAACATTTGAACCAGCTAACGGAATCGGCTCCCAAGCCTGAATACTTCAACAGCCTGAATCTCATGAGACGTATCATGCTGGACACGTCAAACAGACTTTTTCTTGGGATTCCTCTTGACGGTACTGAAATTAACTTTCTTAGGTTTCTCCATGATTCCATAATCATCCCCTCTATTTCCAAAGTCCACTGATGAGTGTGGGTGCTTATTTAGCCAAATCATCACTATCTGCACATAAGAGGGAAATTTGGGGAGGTGTGGTGGAACCCCAAGGAAGGCAGAAGTACAAAATCTCTTTTTTTTTGGTGGGGGGAGGGGATGTCAGGCTATGTACATATAAATGCACCCATTTAAGCCATTCAATGCAAGCCCTACTCAGAGTCTCTTCTTCCCTGGCGATCCTTCATAGCCAAGTAAGATTGTCTTCCATGAACACGGTTTTGACAGTGAGTCCATAAGTGACTGTGGAGGCCAATTCTGGATCCACACATCCTTCCACAGTGGGGACACAGGTTTCCGGGCAGGAGTTGATCATAGTGAGAGTTTGCCAAATATCCCTTCCTCTTAGCGTGTTTCTCCCTTTCGTCCTGAGTTCAAGCATCTTCAAAGCCCACGACACCTTTGGTAAACGCTGTTCTCCAATTGGAGTGTTCACAGGCCAGTGTTTCCCAGTTGTCGGTGTTTATACTACATTTTTTAGATTTGTCTTGAGAGAGTCTTTAAACCTCTTTTGTTGACCACCAGCATTACGCTTTCCATTTTTCAGTTCGGAATAGAGTAGTTGCTTTTGGAAGACAATAATCAGTCCAACGGTTGATGTTGAAGAATCTTTGCTTCTTCCAGTACACTGGAAGTAGTACTCATTGAAATTAATAGACATGACAGGTTAATTGGTTTCAATCGGTGTACTCTGAGTAGGACTGTTCACTACAACCCATAGTCTCCTTTGGGGTGGGTGGGCACAGTCTTGATGTCCTACTTAATGTGTGAGATTGTCAGTTAGTCCTTGTGCGTTTACTACAGACTTCCACAGCCTGGGGATCTGGGGATGTCTTGAGCTCCAGCTCACATCATCCCTGGCAATGGGCCATGGTGGCTAGGGATGATGGGAGTTGTAGTCCAAAATATTTGGAGGGCACTAGGTTGGGGAAAGCTGGTTTAGCGTATCACCTGGCTGATCTTAGACTGGCTGAACCCACCAAAAGAGTTGGGTCTCAGTTTTCCTTCCTAATTAACCATTTCAGTTGCCTGTTGAGGTCCTTTTTCTTCATTTGCTTTCTTCATTGCTGCCACTTCTGGGTTTGTTTGTTTTTCCTTCTCCACTGATAGGAAGCAATGCAATTTTCCTAAATAAGTGACTGAATTGATAGTTACAGGAGACCCCCTCTACGTCCGGATGTAATTCCCTGCTTGGAATGGTCGAGAAATTAAGATTCACTTCTCACCAAACTTCCCTAATCCACACTTTCTGGAAAAAAGAATACATGAATCAGAACCTAGCCTTACAATTTTCCAGAAGGATGTGGTTGGCCCCATCAATGGGTTGCTGTTCACGGTGTTGGAGCTTCTTTCCATTTATGTTTCTGTCTCCCTTGTCATTTGTGTGTCATTTCAGAAAACAAAGTTGTGCTTAAAATCCAAAACTACTTTGATGCTTGGCAAGCGCTGCTCCTGAAACCTGACATCTACTTTAAGATTTCTTGGCTGTATAAAAAATATGAGAAGTCTGCGTAAGTACCAGCAACAGCAGCAATTTTACTGAGAGTGGGCCAGGAGTGCTTGCCTTGCCTACACACCTACTCTAGAGTCTTCGTTTGTGGGAGGAGTAAAAAGTGCTTGGATTGCAGTGTAATTGTGTGCAGTCTTTACACAGTTACCTGGGAGTAAGCTCAATTGAATACAGTGGGACTTACTTCTGAGTAGACAATGTAAGGCTCCATTTACAATCAAGGACCAAACGTTCCACATGTTTCCTAAGAATGCATTGCAATTAAATAATTTAAAGTGGTTTGGTGACCTTTTCCTTCAAAATTATAGGAAAGGCTTCGAACGTCAGTGTCACCATTTCTTTACTTTGGTGCAGGTATTTTATTTCCAGCAGAAACAGGACTCTGTTTTTGCATCTGCAGACACACACACACCACTTTGAGGGGAGGAAAAAGGGAAACTGGGACATTCTGGGATCAAATCAGAAACCAGGATGGCTTCTGTAATTCCGGGACTGTCCCTGGAAAATCAGGACAATGGAGGGTATGGTCTCCACAGGTTGTGACAGTTTGGGGGTGTCTGTTTGGGTGTGCATGTCTGTGTCTGCAGTAGACAAATGTCACTTACCGTATTTTTTGCTCTATAAGACTCACTTTCTCCCTCCTAAAAAGTAAGGGGAAATGTGTGGGCGTCTTATGGAGCGAATGTAGGCTGCGCAGCTATCCCAGAAGCCAGAACAGCAAGAGGGATTGCCGCTTTCACTGCGCAGCGATCCCTCTTGCTGTTCTGGCTTCTGAGATTCAGAATATTTTTTTTCTTGTTTTCCTCCTCCAAAAACTAGGTGCGTCTTGTGGTCTGGTGCGTCTTATAGAGCGAAAAATACGGTACTTCCTGTTCAACTGCAGTATAGGTTGAAATGTACAGGGCTGTCTGATTCTTACATCAAGGCACTGCAGGTACTAAGTGATATACTGGATCCCTTCTGTTTTAGGAAGGATTTGAAAGAAGTCATCGAAATCTTAATAGAGAAGAAACGACAAGAGCTTTTCAAACTTGAGAAACTGGAGGACCACATGGATTTTGCATCACAGCTGATTTTTGCTCAGGTGATTTAAAAAAAAATAAATAACGCGTGAACTGTAATTGATCACCTCACATTGGGGCACAAAAAATGCTGCTTTTATAGAAAGTTCCCTTTTAAATAATAGAACAGATAGTTCATGTATCTTAAGAAGAGTCCCGCTAGATGAGACCATGAAGAGTCCCGCTCCTCACCATGGCTGGTAGCCAATGATAGCTAGATCCTCCATGAATTAGTTGGTGGCCATCGCTACATCCTGTGGGACTGTGGCTCAGTATTATATTTTCTGACATACAGCAGCTCTCAAAGTACTGAGCTTTCCCCTCATCAGACATGGGTGTGCCAGGATTTTTGTTGGGGGAGGTAGCTGTTGAGCTTTTTTTAGGAGATCCATCAAAGTTGTGAGTTTTGGGAGGGAATCATGGGGGCATGCTTTTCAGTAATTTCTGTGGATCTAGTGGGACCTGCCCCCTTTGCTATGGCCATGCTTGGAAGCACCAAGGAATGAAACCTGGGACCTTCTGCATGCAAAGGATGTGTTCTGCCATGGACCTATGACTTCTCCCCACCTGTGATGAGCAAATTGCTTCATTTATCCCTGGCTTTTCCCACCACAAACACAGTAGGGATGGGAGAGAGATGGGATTCCGTCGGCGAAATCGGCAAACCTATCCAATCCACACTTTCAGAAACAGTATGTAAACTGAAACGCAGCTGCATAGCTGTCAACCGTCCCTTATTTGGCGGGAAACTCCCTTATCCCAGTGCCATGTCCCGCTGCTGTCCCTTATTGATGAAGTCCCTTAAATTTCCCGGGTTTCAAAGGAAGCAGCTCCTCTCGCTCCCTCCCTGCCGGCCAGGGAGGAGGGAGGCTCCAATAAGGAGTCTAAGAACGACTGGGGGGTGGAGCTTGCATGCCTTGTGCCGATCAAATCGGCCGCGTTGCCTGGGGACTCACCTTTGCTCAGCGCTTCCCAGCGGAGAGGGGACGGTGGTTTTCCTTGCTGCATCACCTTTGCCGGGTTGCTGCACTGTGGGAACCACTGCTTGAGGCTTCGTTTGGCTGCTGGCTGGGCTTTCTGCCTTTGGCTTGGAGGGGCTCAGAAGTTGAACATACCTGTGCTCTGAAAATCCCTTATTTTGGCTGCTGATCCCTTATTTCCAAGGCTGCTGTTCCCTTATTTTCAAATCTGTAAGTTGACAGCTATGCGCAGCTGTCCTTCAGAATTTGCACTTTTCTCCTGCCAAGTAATGTGTACAAAAAGGCATATACTAGGGTAAAGTGTGCACAGAAATTGCATGCAAAAATGCATTATATTGGGGAAAATTGGTTTGCAAGTGTATGCATATTAGAAATGTTTATTTATTTGTTTTATGACATATATATGCCACCTTTTTTCTTCCAAGGACCTTAAGGTGGTGTACATGGTTCTCCACCTCACGATTCATCCTCACACCAACACTGTGCGGTAGGTTAGGCTGAGAAGCAGTGACTGGTCCAAGGTCACCCAGTGAGCTTCATAGCTGAGCGGGGATTCGAACCCTGGTCTCCCAGGTCATAGTCCGATACGCTAACCATTACACCACATGTATATTAGGAGAACTTTGCACATAATTGCAGGTACATTTCCACAAGAGCATTTTAAAAGCATCCACATGGTGATGTGGAAATGTGGGGAACTAGAGTTAAGACTGAGGGGAAAATGAGAACCTGAGAGAAACCAAAATTGAGTGATTTGCACATTTCCAAAACACAACCGGCTGATGGTCCTCTGATGCATTGATGCATTGCCCTAGACACACTGCCCTACTGAGTTCATTCTCTCACTGCTCACTGATCTGAGTAGAATTTGACACTGTTGTTGGCAACCAAGTCTAGTAGCCATCATCTGCCCATTCAATCTTTCAGAGCCGTGGGGACCTAACTGGTGAGATGGTCAACCAGTGTGTTTTGGAGATGCTGATAGCTGCCCCAGATACTCTCTCGGTGACTCTGTTCTTCATGCTAGTGCTGATTGCAGAACATCCTCAGGTGGAAAAGGAGATGATGAAGGAAATAGAGGCGGTGATGGGTAAGCACTCAGTGACACTGGAAGAGAAGGGTGATTTCCCTAATGAACAAATATGTACTGTGAGCTAGGAAGGGTCCAAACTATTAGTGATCCAGAGATAATGATCCAAAAGTTTTCTGTAAAACCCAGCTGAACACTAGGCTTGCCGCTTTAATTTGGCGGCAGGGAATAGAATGGCTCTTGTGCCTTTGATAACTGCTGAATGTTCAAAAATTAGGCTGGATTATTTATTGTGATACTCTCTCTGTGGCATTCAAAGCACTCTGGAAACTTCCATTGGTGTGAAATGTTGCTGACCTGTTGATAACTAACAAAAGCCGGAGAGGGGAACTGGGAATGGTCTCCTACACAGCTGTAGGTCACCTCACATCACAACAACATTGGGTGATCAGTTCTTGCCACATTGGAGTCCTGACAATAAGCTGATGGTTGGAACTTCAAAGTGCTCAGTGCTGCTCCACCAAGCAAGCACCACCAGCTGATCATCATTTCAAGTGTCTCTCTACAGGATCGCTGATTGTTTGTGCTTGCAGAGGACTATGTATGGGTCTTTGAAACCCCAACAGCCAGCTTAACTTCAGGGCTTCAGCACCATAGCTCTGTTAGTTTGGACTGTGCAAGGAATTGGTTTTGCTTTGTTTTCACATGATTCTCCCACTTGCTATCTGAAGTGGTTCAGTCCCACAACAGAGACATCAAGCGAGGATGTAGTCTTGATAGTCTGTTTCTCAGAAGTGATCAGCAAGACTCAAGTTTTAGGTTTTTATACTGAAGCAAAATTAAAAAGCTGGCTTTAAAAGTGTACAAATGAATTCTGCAATTCTGCAATTCTGCCATATTCCAAATCTGTGCAGAAATGTCATTTGAGCTCTTTCTCAGTGGTGATATCAGAGACCAGCTGTTTTATCTTACATGCTTCCTAAAGGTGACAGAGATATCCAAAGTGAGGACATCCCAAAGCTAAAAGTGGTGGAGAATTTTATTCTCGAGAGCATGAGATACCAGCCAGTCGTGGACTTGGTCATGCGCAAAGCCTTGCAAGACGATGTGATTGATGGCTATCCTGTCAAGAAAGGAACCAACATCATTCTGAACATCGGGCGCATACATAAGCTTGAGTTCTTCCCCAAGCCAAATGAATTCTCACTTGACAACTTTGAGAAAAACGTAAGTTTGGGGTTTGTTTGTTTTCAATTGTTTAAGGCTGTTGCTTCACTATCATCAGTATCTGGTCTCTTCAAGTAGTTGCTAGGGCCCCGAGACCCCACCGCTGACATATGATCTGGGTCCTGTCTTATATAGGAAAGGGAAGTTACTGGTGATAAAATTAAGCCTAATAGGTAAAGGCAGACTTAGATATGAGTTCAAATTCAACCTTGCCACAAGAGCACATGTGCCCACCAGTAAAACACTGTCCAAAAAGAATTTTGACACAAGATTTCTTTTTCTGTAGTGTTTTACCAGTGTATAGAAACTGATTTGTAATGGGAAGGGAGTCACACAAAAACTGCAGCAAACTGCATGTGCTCCAGAATTGCTTTTAGTAATTTCCCTATTTAATTTCTCCAGAATTTTGGAATGGAACTCAGGGAAGAGTGAACTGGAAGGAAAATAAAGTTGTGGAATAGGGATGAACAGATCTCCCTTGGTGTGTGTGTGTGTGTGTGTGTGTGTGTGTGTGTGTGTAGTGTTTTGGGGTGTTATTTATGAATTTTTTTAATTCTGACTTTTCTTCGAAAATTGTTTTTTTGTGAAGGTCCCCCATCGTTACTTTCAGCCCTTTGGATTCGGTCCCCGTGGTTGTGTTGGGAAGTTTATTGCCATGGTGATGATGAAGGCTATCCTGGTGACTTTCCTGAGAAGGTGCAGTATCCGGACTCTAAAAGACCAAGGTCTTAACCACATTCCAAAAAACAATGACTTGTCTATGCATCCAGATGAAAGCCAGCCATTGCTGCAGATGCTTTTCGTGCCAAGAAATAACGTGAGCAACAACCATCATGGGGAATAAAACAGCCCATGAAGTCTCCAAACACTGATTGTTTGGGCTACCCTAATGAAAACTGATTGGTTGGACTACTCTGCTCAAATGAAGAATTCTCATCCAACTGGGGAGCATCCATTCACTCATCCAATGAATAAATTGCTGGTGCAAGTGGCCATTTGATAGAACTCAGGTTCTGGCTGCCATTCAGGATGGAGCACCATTTTTTTGGTATACCAAAAAAAAAGTTAACATTCATGCAAGGAGGACCTACAAGTATCTTTGCGAATTATTCTGTGAAGCTGAAATTGTGTGATGGAACTTCCTTTCTGCAAGCACTGAAGAACCCATTTATGTAGGTCCATGGAGATGAGATGAGATAAGAATAATGCAAGAGGCAGCAGCTGAATTCTCGCACCACTGTTGATTAGGAAGCAGAAGTCAAATTTTGAGCTGCACATGGACAGATAAGACTTCTCTGAAAGCAACAGAACAATGTAACTCTACTGTGGAGTCATGAAGATTTCATTGACGGCTGTGCTTGCTGTCTTATCATGGCAAGCCATCCTGATTCACTTTGGGGTACAGCAAAGCACTGGTTTTCTACTTCTGTTTGATTTGAAAGAGAGGAGCACCCATATTCTCTCTGGACTCGATGGGTGACTTTCTCCCATTTGTTTTGTACGTTGTGGGGTGCATGTGTGTGGGGTGGGGGTTCGGGTCACTTTCACAGAACTATTTTTCCAGGCTGAGAGTATGAGTTGGGCGAATACGAGCTGGGCATCTGCTTGCAGCGAAGCATATGACCGCCATCTTTTCTTTGCCACTGCTCTTTTAAAAGCATCATGACCAATGGCCGGGGGGGGGGGGGGATACAAAAATCCAAATGCTGCCACATTCTGCAGCATAGGCATCCAGCAACTGCCTGGGCTAACTGGCAGGCCACAGATCTATGTTCTCCTGCCCTTTCTGGTCCATCTCTGAAATGGCAGGCTGGAACATTCCCTGGGCAGCAAATTTCCCCAGGACTCCAAAATTACTATTTCTGGGTCAGCTGTCCATTGGTTCTCTCATATCTAGAAGGACTATGAAGGTTTCTGGATTGTGGTGGGACTTCTCTGGGCAGTCACAGAAGCATTTGCTACGTCTGATTCCTGGCTTGGAGTTTCTACCTTTTCGCGATGACCGCCTTCGGCCAAGCTTAGTCAACATGGTACCCCCCATGGGCTATGTTCTCAGCAGCAGCCATTCAGGGCTCAAATTCAAAAGGGATATCCACGCTACTGAGAAGACACTGTTCATGAATACCTTAGAATGGGAGAAGAACTAGGAGTTCCCTCTTCAAACCTCAGCCTCTTCACTTTTGGGTTCAACTCTGCCTCCCCTTTTCTCTCCATGCATTGATTCTTAACTCAGCTTACCTCCTTCTTCCAGGACTAAGCTCAAGGAACAGCAAGTTGCTCGGTCCAAGAGTTGAACCTCTCCCTCCCCTTTATCCATCAGCCTTGACAGCAATGGAACTTGCTGTTTTTTGCCTGATCATCCCTTGAATGACCCCACCTGACCAATCTTGGGAGAACTCTGGCACCGTCTTCTGAGGTCCTTGCAGTTTTTGCTCTGTGTTGATGAACTGGACCAAACACATCCATACCAGATAGTACACTGATTTCAAAGAGTTATTGCTAAGCTCTGCAGGACTGATTTCTGGTTCTTGTGATTTATTCTTGTGGTGTGTGTTTTTCCCTGACTCTGCATGCAAACATGTATGCCTAAACTGACTGTTTGTATGATTTCACGCTCTTGCCCTGGATTCAAGCACTGCTTTGTTGTGATCAGTTCCTGTGAAAGGTTTTGCTGATTTTGGGGATGACCTTGTTGTGCAGTGGCTGTTGCACAGATCAAAGCTGGCGGGGGGGGGGTGTTTCTAAACGTAGACAGGTTTGCTGTGGTCAGGTTGCTTGCGAGGTATATTTAAAGGGCTTCTCAAAATCAGTTGCAGTTAACTGGTACTCTCCTACAATGTGGGGGTCATTATAAGGAGAATGTGATTTCCCTGTGACAATAATTTCACTGGTTCTTGGTCCATTTGCAGGCACCATTCAAGGTACTGGTTACATTGGGGTGGTATCAAATACTAGTTATACTCAGAGTAGAGTCGCTGAAATTAATGGACATGACTAAACTACAATCCTAGTCTGATTTAACTGGGAGTAAATTGGGTTAGGATTGCAGGTGTGTCTTATCTGTTAATTCAATGGGACATAGTCTGAGTAGATAGCATAGCTGTCAACTTTTCCCTTTTCTTGTGAGGAATCCTATTCGGAATAAGGGAATTTCCCTTTAAAAAAGGGAAACGTTGAAAGGTATGGTAGATAGGGGCCTCACAAGTCTGATACATTTAATGCTATATCCTTCCACTTTAAGCAGTCATGGATTCCTTCAAAGGCTTCTGGGAACTGTAGTTTGTTAAGGGTACCAAGAGTTGCTAAGACCCCCCCATTCCCCTCACAGAACTACAATTTCCAGAGCAGATTAATAATCAACACCTCTTCCCAAGGAACTGTGGGAATTGTAGCTCTGTGAGGGGAATAGGAGGTCTCCTAGCAACTCTAGTGGAATGAAACTACTTTAAATGTATAGGGCAGATGGGCTTATGATTAGGATAGCAGCCTGACTTAGGTCTCTTCACTTCAGTGGGTCTTCTCTAAGGAGAACTTAGCTGGATACAAGCCAAGATTATCTGAATGGCTGTATTCTTCCAGGAGAGACCCTTCTTCTGGTCTGGCCAACATCCGAAGCCCATTTGGGAAAAACTCAGGAGAGGCACTTCTCAGTGTTGCTTCCCAGGCTTGGCAATTCCTTGCCAAGGGAGGACCATCTAAGCCCCTTCTCCAATGGCCTCCCACCAGCATGTGAAGATGTGTTTATTCAGACAAGCCTTCAATGTCACGCGCTGACTTGTTATGGGTACAATTAATATGTTGCAATTTGTCCAACTGGCTGTTGTTTCAATCAGCTTTATTGATTTTTATTGATGTTTGTATGTTTTTGACTGCTATTTTGTACTATACTTTGTATTTCACTGCTGTTAGCCACTTTGAGCATCATTTGGTGGGAAGGTGGGTTGCACAATTAATAAATAATAACATAACATAACAACATAACATAACATAAAGTTGGGGAAAGCTTTTATATAAAGCTTGCTTTAAATTTTTAAGAAGGGGAAAACGCCCATTAATTCAGTGACCTAAAGCCATGACAAATATCTTTCTTTCTTTCTTTCTTTCTTTCTTTCTTTCTTTCTTTCTTTCTTTCTTTTTGGTGCAAAGCAAAATTTCCATGACTTTCCCCCAAAAAAACTGATTTTAAAGGGTGAAAGTAAGCAATGTGAGGGCTATCTTCTGTAACGCGTCAACTGCTAGCATTTTTAGGTAAAATTACTGTAAAATTGTATTGTAAAATTATTGTACAGAGGTTTTAATATGTTGCCTTATGGCAGGGGTAGGACATCTGCTTTGCATGTAGAAGGTCCTAGACTTGATCCCTGGTATCTCTAGGTAGGACTAGGAAGATCTCTTGACTGGAAGGAATCCTGGAAAGCAGCTGCCAGTGAGTTTAGACAATACTGAACTAGACATACCAATGATTTGACTCAGCACAAGACAGTTTATTGTGTTCCTTTGTGAAGAGAAGCAAACCAAAGTCTATGGGTCGCCTGTTGTTGATCTGTGAGGATGAGACCTCAGCTTAAGTGCTATGCTGAATGTCAGGCTGCAGAGGGCGCACACAGAAAATGTCATCATCCTAATTCCGTCTAATATCAAAAATAAAATAAAATTAAAAATGCCAAGCAAAACAAGAGCGCTTGAGCACCTCTCAGTTTGGGAACATAATGGGGACACCCAAAAGTAAGGTATTGGTTTCTACTTGCTCGTGAGACTCCCTACATATGCAGAAGTATATATGTTTGTAAAGAAAGGTTTTTAAAAAGAAAAAAAAAGGCACCACTTGATAAGGACTTGTGAGCTTCCTGGATTCATGGAATGTTGAGGTGTCAGGTGAGTGGAGGAAAGAAAGGGGAGGAGGGAGGAGGAAAAATAAAGAAACCTGCTCATTGAGGTTCAGGGGTATTTTTCTCGGAATTCTTTTTATATATATATAAAAAAATTATTTGGTTTTACAAATTGATAATTACATTCAAAATCACATATAAAAACAAATAACCAAGATTCTTCCAAATCTTTAGACTTCCTTCCACCCCAACCCCCATGGGTCCTTTGCTAATCTTTTATGCTGCATATTATTAATTGTTCAATTATCCATTGTATCCAAAGTCTTTGTTACATTACAAGTGTTATTTGAATCCTGCTAAAGAATCCAGTTGTTTACAGTCGTCTCCCATGTATAATATAAATTTTCCCCAATCTTTATTGAAGTCTTGGTCTTCCTGATTTCTGATCTTCCCAGTCATTTTGCCATCTCTGCGTACTCCAACAACTTAGTTTGCCATTCCGCTCTGGTCGGGACCTTATCTTTCTTAGAATTCTAGCCCAGTTCTAGACTTTCCCCACCCACTGATTTGCCTCTCTGAATCCACCACCCTGCCTGCTTCTGCTCACCATGTTTGACACGGTAAATGCTGTATCTGGAACTCTACAGAGGGGTGATGGAAGCAGCTAGGAGGTCCCCCCCCCCTCTGCTATTTCTGAATCCACAATCCCTCCCATCCAAAAGAGCTTTTCCCCTCCGGGTGATTCTGAACTTCAGTTCCCATCAGCCCTGACCACTGGCTGGAGGCTGCCATGTTGACTAGCCATGGACTGGCCACTGTGAGAGGCTACTGGACTACGTAGGCTTGTGGTCTAATTCAGCTGAGCTCTTGCTATTTTTCCATGTTTGGATGGAAACTCGGGCCATAATCACTGCTGGGTGTGTTTCTACACACTTGGGGTGTCCCTAGGTATGGAAATTTGTACAGAAAAAGAAAAGGTGTGTTTTTGTGTGCCTGTTGCAAAGGTAAAGGGACCCCTGACCATTAGGTCCAGTCGTGGCCGACTCTGGGGTTGCGGCGCTCATCTTGCTTTATTGGCTGAGGGAGCCGGCGTACAGCTTCCGGGTCATGTGGCCAGCATGACTAAGCCGCTTCTGGCGAACCAGAGCAGCGCATGGAAACACCGTTTACCTTCCCACCAGAGCGGTACCTATCTATCTACTTGCACTTTGATGTGCTTTTGAACTGCTTAGGTTGGCAGGAGCTGGGACCGAGAAACGGGAGCTCACCCCGTTGCAAGGTTTCGAACCATCGACCTTCTGATCGGCAAGTCCTAGGCTCTGTGGTTTAACCCACAGTGCTGCCTGTTGTATACACACACAAACATGTGCATTTGTTAAAAAGCAGGGACCGGTGAGCTTCGAGGAATTATGGCATGTGGATGGTAGTTGACTCCCTAGAGGCAAGAAATTATTCAATAACTCGCCCCATCGGTTGCAGATGGAGTTTCCAGGCTCACAATGAATGCCAAAGAGAGCAACATCTCTTTTGAGTGAAGGAATGGGTACGGCTGCCCAATCACAGCTCTGCTGAAACTCCAGATTTCTTAGCTTTTGTTGTTTATATGCAACTCTCATTTCTATTGTGGGAAAAGAGAGAGAGATGGTTCTAACATGGGCTTCCCAAACTTGTTCCCTTCAGAGTGCTTTGAACAACACCACCCATAAGCCACAGTCAGCATGGTCAGCAGTGAGGAGTGATGGAGCTTGCACCCCAAAACATCTGGTCTAAAGAAAGCAGAAATAAGCCAAATTGTGTGAGCTTATCGATTAAGTACAGAACGTTAGAGTTATGGTTGTCGGTGGGAGGTAAATGGAGGGAAGCCTCTTTTTAAATAAATAAATAATAAATAAATAAATAAATAAATATCTGAACCACTTAATATTTCAAAAATCTCTAAAGTGGTGTAGGAAAATAAACCATGTGCTAAAAACAGAACTGTACAACATAAAAAAAAAACCAGTTAAGCAATATTATAAAAACAGAAATCAAGAGTAGCATCACGGAAAGCATGGGCAGAAAGAAAGGACTTTACTAGATGTCTGAAGCTTTTGATAGATAATGCTTCAGATTGCAGGAGACCATGGAGAGAAATGCCCATTTTGAAGACACACAGGCCCATCTTACCCATAGAGGCTAGTGGCACAGGGTGCCAGGGCACCACATTCTGGAGGGCACCAGGCTAGAGTCTGGGGAACACTGAACGAACGTGCTGAGTGAATGAGGGTGCATGCGCCGCTCCCGCCGAGCACCGGCTCGGTTTTTTCCCTTTTAGCCTGCTGGCGCTGAATTCTGCAGGGCGCCAGAAGGCTAAAAGAGAAAAAACCGAGCTGATGCTCAGCGGGAGCAGCGCAGGCCCGCTCGCTCGGTGTGCTGCCTGCTGTGGCCACCGTGGCACAAAGCGGCCAGCTGAGCTGGGAGGCGCCATGTCCAGCCTCCGCCTCTTCCCCACTGGAGGAGCTGGATATGCTTAAGCCGGCCCTGGAGACACAAACTGTGATGGCCTGCGATTCAGACTCGGAGGCTGAACCTGAGGAATCCCAGCCTGCACAGGATTCCCTGCCTCCAGAACCAGCTGAGCCGGGGCTGGGACATGAGCCTGAAGGGTCCTCACCTGTGCTGGATCCTCAGGTGCAGGCACCAGCTGAGTCTGCTCTGGCTCCTGAGGTGATGGAGGACCCATTGCCTGCAGGTGCTCCACTCTCAGCCCCGACAGAGGAAGCTGAGGTTGCCTCTGGGTCCGGTAACCCTCCAGCGGAGGGAACTAAGTTCCCGCAGGAGGAGTGCTCCCCTCCAGGCCAGGAGAGGCGAGTCACCTGTGGACTGGGTCCGCCCTATGCCTCGGGGCAGATAAAAGCCAGCCAGCCCTGTCCCAGGTTGCGGGAGCAACGTTGTTGGTAGCCAGTTCTTGCCTGTATCCTGTCCTGCCGGATCTCTTGACCTCACCCGACTCCCTGCCTTGGACCCAGCTTCAGCTTTGACGGACGGCCTCAATACTGCTCCCTCGACCTCGGACTGGACTCGGACCTCGCCTCACGGAAACCCACAGGACCAACACAGTTTGCTCCTGCCACACCCGCACTCTCCCTTCGTAGGGGGAACATTCGGGAAGAACCAGAAGCCATGGTTGAGCCGCTGCGGGCTCGGGTGCAGAACAGCAACAGGTCGACGCTTGAGCTCGCCTCACGGAAACCCACGGCACCAGCACACAAACCTATCATATTCTGTACAGTGCAGGGGCGTGAATAAAATCTCTTCCCAGATGATCTAAGTGTGAACTTACAGGTCAATACAGGTGAGGGTGAGCTTTCAGGTCTTTGAAAACTCTGTGTGTGTGTGTGTGTGTGTGTGAGAGAGAGAGAGAGAGAGAGAGAGAGAGAGAGAGAGATTTGAAATTCAATATGCAGTCTTTAAGGTAATCATTCTAACATGCCAGGGAATCAAGACGTCCTAGCCAGGAAGGCAGCAGAGAGGATTAATGGGGTCTGCAGGGTCCACTTCCACAGCCAGGCCGCTGAGAAACGAGACCTCAGAGTTTTAGCAGCACG